CATTAAAATTAGCGTAAAATAAAAATATTAGCAGGAAAATTCAATTAAGTATGGCCCAAAAAGGATTTATTGTACACTATTATTTATAAACACTGAAAGATTAAGATAAGTTTAGTTTATCAGTTTATTTATTAAGTATTAATAATTTAATATAGTGCATTTATTACATTAACCTGATAAAAAAAAAACAAAAGAAATTTAGATTTTGAAAATTAACTATTTAGTTATTGATTTTACGTGGAGACTGAGTTATCCGGATGTATATATAATTAGAAGCCCACAAGGAAGCTTTACATCCAAAACCCTAATATTTAAATATTTCATTCCTAAATTACCAATACACCTCTAATCTTTATCCCCCCTCCATAATTCTTGCCGATTTGAGCATGGGCAATTTGGTCATTACACATAACCATCCAAACTAAAGAAGGAAACTACATCCGGTATAAATCCACATCTCCTCTCAATCTTCATAATACACATACCAACATAGCAAAATCAAATCGGCAAGATCAGAAGGTGTTGAAGCTCCATGGATATTGAAAGCAGTTGGAACGATGGGTTAGAATCCGATAAACTGTTCATCAAGAAGCTAACTGCAACCTCCAATAACGACGACGTTGAAGGACATACACCCACGTTGTTGGCCTACAATGATCATGATCGTATCCGACACATGCGGAATTTCCTGCGTGTCTACCCTTTAACTAAACCTAGAGACGACGATGTGAAATCCAGGATCATGAAGAAAAAGAATTACTTGCATAAAAAGATTTCAACGTTTGTTTCTTTGTTGTCGTGGACAATAAGGACGATAAAGTCTGATTAATCTTAATTAATTGATCGATGTATATATATGGTTAATTTGGCGTTTAAAAGCTTTTTGTTCTTGTCTAGGGTTTTTGGTTGCAAATTAATTAATCTTAATATTTAGTTAACATATCATACTGCATATATCTTTTACCTACGATCGTGTCTTTTATGGGTTTGGATTATTGGATATTTGAGTGAAATATATTAAAAAAATCATCATTTAACCTTTTTCAAAACGATGATTATAAAGGTTCATGATGAAATCTAAGCGTGACTGTCTTGGTTCAACATTTATTTATTTATTTATTTTAATTTTTTGTTGAACCTATCAAAATAACACCTGCTAAGTATCACTATGCATGCGTCTATGCCTATATTTTTTGGTGCGATGGATATTCAAAATCGCATCATTAAATAAGATTTGCATCAACAATCAATGACGTTTTCATATAATCACATTAAAAAGAATCACAAACGCATTTATTAATGCGGTAGACCAAAACCGTACCATTAAACATGTTTATTTGGTGCAATTTTTTGTAAAACACACCAATAAATAAACCACACCAATTAATAGGAAAACCGCATCAAAAAAGAAAGTCGCACCAATTAATAAAAAAAACTCGCATGAATAACTTCTTAATCCATCATTATTTTCAATTACACGATTAATATGAACTACTGTTATGAATTATTATTTAGTGAATTACTATTGGATTCTCCATATTCCCCCATTACTCTCCATAATTAGTGAACATTATAGCAAACATTATTATGAGTTTTATGAGTGTAGTTATGCACCACTATAATGAGCATTCATATCATACATCACCTTTCATCTTCTTTGTCTAGTATAAATAGTGAATATTACGTATTGTAAAGTTTGATGATTTCATCACAAGTATTGAAATAAAAGTTCTCTTTACTCTCATATCTTTATTTACTCTATAAGTTATCTTGTTATTTGATCATATTTTATAACACGTTATCAGCACGATTCTACCATAAAGCTTTAACTCCTTATTGGTCTTGTTATTTTCAGGTATGTATTTTTTATAATTTTACATGTACGATGCTTACAACTTATTTTATGGAATTTCTTAACTAACAATTCCTTACATTACAAGTCTTTATTTTGATTTCTATTTTCATTATGGAAAACAATGCTAGAGAAAACTTTCTCTAGTTTTCATACTACTAATATGCTCCTGCAGTAGCAATATCATGAGAAATGTTTAAAATAAATATGAATTAATCTCATGTCTTCTTGTGGCTAAACAAAACAATGAGTTATTAATGAAAAATTATCAATCAATCCCGACCGGTTCTAGTACATTCCCTGAAGTGAATGGAACTCATATAATCATAATAGTCATGAGTCTAACCGAGGTTGTGGAGGTTATCATAATTATCATAAAAATAACAAGATTACAAGTAACCACCAGAAGTTGGAAAACAACAAAAATCCACATCCTAATGATAAAAGTGGTCAAGCCAAAAAAAATGAAAATGTTTATCACTAATGTGGAATGACCGATCATTGGTCTTGTACATGCCGCTTACCAAATCTTTTTGTTGATCTTTATCAAGCTTCTCTAAAATATAAAGAAAAATATCGAAACAATTTATTTTTCATAGTGATATTCATTAAGACCAACCAGAAATGACACATTTGGATGTTGTCGATTTTCTTGTCTACCTATAAGGGACAAGTGGTGATATGGATGGTGATTGATCAGAATAATATATTGTTTTGTTTCATGATATTTATTATGTTTTTATGTCATATTCGTTTCATTAGAAATGATGTCGTCAGAATCTTCCCAAATTAATAAAATATGAATTTATTTCTCTAAGTCGAATGTTTCTTATGTTTTATTTATTTATTGAAAAGAAATATGGATATTCGCAAAAGAAATAATTAAGATATATTTCTTGCAGACAATGCAATAGCACATAGCATTTTTAATAATGAAAAGTATTTTGCTTACTTATCAATTAGAGAAGCAAATGTTAATATAATAACAGGTAATGCAAAAATGATTGAAGGCTCCAGAAGAGCGAATATAATATTAGAACAAGGGACACTAATTACAAATTAGTGATGCATTATTTTCGTCTAAATCACCAAGATTGAAGGCTCCGGAAGAGCGAATATAGTATTACCCACAAGTGACAATAATTACAATTGGTGATGCATTATTTTCATTAAAATCATCAAGAAATTTATTAAGTTTTAAGGATATTCGGCCCAACGGATATCATGTTGAAACAACCAATGATGGTGATAAAGAGTATCTTAATATTACAAAAATGATATCGGATAAGAAAAGTCTTTTGGAAAAATTACCTGTATTGTCCTCCGTATAAAAAAAGGTATGATAATACCTTCAAAGTTTGACATGACCGGTTGGGCCATCCCGGATAAATTATGATGCGCAAAATAATTGAAAGTTCAAGTGATCATTCCTTGAAAAAGCAGAATATTTTTCAAGATAATGAATTGTGTTGCATGCTCTCAAGGAAAATTAATATTCAGTCCATCATTGAACAAAGTTGGGTATGAAAGTCTTAGTTTCTTACAAAGAATTCAAGAGGATATACATGTACTAATTCATCCAACTCCATGTGGACCATTTAGATATTTTATGGTTTT